TCCATTTTGATTCCCTATTTTTGCTTTGTATAATATTTCATTATAATTTTTTTTGTTCGAGGCTTTAGGTGGAACCAAATTTGAGGTAAGGGAATACGAATGTTCTTTGTTTATTTTTTAACATTTTGATTTGAAATTACAATGTTATTTGCTTTTTGAAATTACAAGTGAAATTTAAGGGATTTGTCCTATTTGTTGGCACTGGAATTGTTTGATGAGTTGCCAGAGCGAAATTTGACTGTGTGGAACGTGATGCTACGTGGGTTGTGTGAATCGGAATATATCAAAAGCCAAGCTAAATTTATATCCAAACCAAAGCCAAAATTTCAGATCCTTAAGTACAACTTCTCTAACTAGAGAAGCCTAAGGTGTGCCGTATCATTCAACCTTTTTATCTGCCAACCAGTTCTCAGAGAATGCTGTAACACAGTCACTGAAGAGTCTTCTATGCAAAACTTATGTGACATCATAGGACTACATCCAAGAAGGCCTATTTGAGTTTGTCAAAAGGGCATGGGAGTTGTGTTGTGCGAATGCCTGGTTTTCATTTTGATGTGATGATAAATCTAATCTCAATTTTTCATGTAATCCCAGGACAGTTCCATTTAAGAAGTGAATCATCCGGAACTCTTCTTGTCTAAGTGATTTACCAGAAGGTGTAGTGAAATCTGGCTGGAACCTGTCAATTAGGCCCTAAATTTCAGGGGTATATATTTCTGATCGAAGGCAACCTTCCTAATTCCCTTGACTAATCTCTGCAAGAGAATCACAGGATTGAATTTGTTCCTCTGAAAAGCTGATTTCCTGTTCATTGGAACTTTAGAGAGTAAGATTTTAAGCACAAGATTCTGGAATGTATTTTTTTTTCTTCGTATTTGCTTTGATTCAAACATCAAAAACAAGATTGCTTAAGGCACATGAAGTTTAATGGAAAATAATCATTCTACTACAATAGATTTAGGTAAAGGTAAACAAATTTCTGATGTTTCCGTTCATGCCTTCCAACCATTGAATATAGCAACTACATTTTTCTGATCAAGATTATTCAGTGTAGCATCAAAATCATAGTTAGGATTGGAGATTTTACCATTTCCACCTTTTCCATCCTGCTTTGATCAAATGGAGAGCTAACTTCAACTTTTATTCATACAAATCAGCATGTAATATAAGCCAAAAGAAATAGTCACCTACTCAGTATGTTTATAATGCTTTAGGATGTTTACACTACATATGGGTGTTGAATTTCGGCCATGTGCACACATGCACATGGTGTGACCGAAATGCAACTCAAATGGATACTAAATCACATCCAAATGAGTGCACATGGAGGGGGTGGCCGGTTGGCACCAAAATTTGAATTTTAGAATTCAAATTTTGGCGCCTAGAGTTAAGTAAACCATACCATGGTTTTACTTAACTCTAGGTGAACCCAACTTAAACCCTTAACCTAATTTTTCCTATAAATCTTTCTATGGCCGAGTATTGTAGCACTTTGGATGATATTGAATGAGTATTTCTCACATAGAATTCTCCTTCTCCAAAGTCACCTTTCTCCTAGCTTCTACCCTACTTGAGAGCTTCTCCTTGTAGAGCTAGGACACCATTCTTCTTTGGACTTAGCTTGAAGCAAGCTTAGGTCACCTTAATCCTTTGTGGCGTCTCCATTCCTTGAAGTTTTTCCAAGGAATTCCGTGAAGGATTGTCTCATCCATGTGCATCCAAGTGGAAGCACATCAAGTGGTATCAAAGCTTCGGTCTTCAAGAGATAAGTTCATCATCTGGTCTTTTGAATTTTGATCCGTGGTTCATCTTGCCTTGTGTTTATCTTATGTTCATATTGTTCATCTTGAGTTTTTGTCACTATTGAGTTGATTCCTTCCTAGATCTAATTTTGCCTTGAAAATTTGATGGATCTAGTTTCATGTTGCTTGAATGATTCATTTATGCGCCGATGACTATATGCTTCCATGAATCATGCTCCAATTCTATTGCTTATTAGGAAATTTTTTTGCCTAAGTATGTTTTGCTTTATTTGAGTCATATTTGAAATTTTATTTGGTTATCACATGCTTGAGTCATTTTATTTTTGAATCCATGTCTAGTAAGTTTGTGTAGTCCTTTATATGTTCATAATTCCTAGCATTGCTTGTTGATCCTTTTGAATTTTTCTTTGTGAAACTTGAATCAATTTTTTTTTGATTTCAAGCACAAGATTCTGGAATGTATTTTTTTTCTTATTTGCATTGATGCAAACATCAAAAACGAGATTGCTTAAGGCACATGAAGTTTAATGGAAAATAATCATTCTACTACAATAGATTTAGGTAAAGGTAAACAAATTTCTGATGTTTCTGTTCATGCCTTCCAACCATTGAATATAGCAACTACATTTTTCTGATCAAGATTATTCAGTGTAGCATCAAAATCATAGTTAACATTGGAGATTTTACCATTTCCACCTTTTCCATCCTGCTTTGATCAAATGGAGAGCTAACTTCAACTTTTATTCATACAAATCAGCATGTAATATAAGCCAAAAGAAATAGTCACCTACTCAGTATGTTTATAATGCTTTAGGATGTTTACACTACATATGGGTGTTAAATATTGTCTCATTATGAGCTTTGAGTTTTGACATAATTTGGTTTTGCTTGCCTAGCACTACATATGGGTGTTGAATATTGAGTAAATTCTGTAAGCTTGTATGCATTATATTTTGTTTTAATGCTGACTTTTCTTTCAAATGTTTTATCCGGCTAAATATTTTATCGTTTTATGTTTCAAATGTCTTTTCTTTCTTTTTATCTAATTGATCTTGAAATTTTATTTCCGACCCGGACAATTTTAGGGGTCTACAAGCCGGATGAAAGGGCTCTGCCTCGCTCGGCCGCCCCAGAGGATCCCGGAGCAACCATGAATGATGATGAGGAAACCGAGCAAACCATTAATGCCGACTGATGGGCTTCGGCAATTTGTTTTCTTTTTTGGTTATACATCCGTTTTGATGAAGATGTATAGATATAGGGTGCCTTTTGTTTTATTTTGATTTTGTTTTGGTCATTCGAGTTATGTTGGTGTACCCTTTGGCCGATAGAGCCGCTTTGGCCATAGAGCCTTTCAATGAATTTGTTCTTTTTCCATGTTCGGACTTTACTTTGCTGTTGTGTTTTCATAAATTCTATGACCAATAAATGAACTGGCTGTAATTTATATTGTAGGTTTGGATATCTCACAAGTATTTTGTTGGCCGAAAAGGGGCCAGAATCCATTTGTTGGTGGGCGGTAGAATGTAGTTCCTTTCGGCTAAGTAATACCAATTGATGTAAATTGTAAACTCTTGAACGAGCGAAATAAATAAGAGGGGCTAAGTATTCGACTTTGGCCGAGTAGGTTACTCTGGAGGGAGAATTTTTCAACCTTGGCCGAGTGGTAGGTACTCGGGAGGGATAATTGTTCACCTTGGCCGAATGGTAGGTACTCGGGAGGGATAAGTGTTCAACCTTGGCCGAGTAGTAGGTACTCGGGAGGGATAAGTGTTTAACCTTGGCCGAGTGGTAGGTACTCGGGAGGGATAATTGTTCACCTTGGCCGAGTAGTAGGTACTCGGGAGGGATAAGTTTTCAACCTTGGCCGAGTGGTAGGAACTCGAGAGGGATAAGTGTTCAACCTTGGCCGAGTGGTAGGTACTCGGGAGGGATAATTGTTCAACCTTGGCCAAGTGGTAAGTACTCGGGAGGGATAATTGTTCAACCTTGGCCGAGTGGTAGGTACTCGGGAGGGATAATTGTTCAACCTTGGCCGAGTGGTAGGTACTCGGGAGGGATTTATAAACCTTTAGCCGAGTTGGAGAACTCAGGAGGAATTTAAACAACTCAACCTTGGCCGAGTTAGAGTACTCGGGAGGGATATGGAGCCTCGTTAAAAACTTTTCCTCAGTAAAACCTCTTCCACATTTTATAAGAGGGAAAAACCTGGGAAATGAAAAGAGTGCTCCGAAACAAATACATTGTGTTTGCTAACTAAAATAGTGCTTGAGGTGCGTGACATTCCACGTTTGAGGAATGGTCTTTCAATTGAGTTCTTCGAGCTTGTAGGCTCCATTATTGAGACTGTGCCTCACCCGGAAAGGGCCGTCCCAATTGGGGGTTAGTTTCCCTTGAGCTCTGTCTCTTCTGGCATCTCCCACTACTCTCCACACAAGGTCACCGGGATGGAATTCTCTTGGCTTGACTTTGGATCTGTGTTTTTGGGAAACGCGTGCTCTACAGGCTTCCATGTTGATGAATGCCCGGTCACGTGCCTCCTCGATCAAGTCAAGCTCCACATTTAGTGCTTCCTCGTTGGTTTCTTCAGTGAATTGTTGTCGTCAGGGTGGGTTCCCCTATCTCCACCGGAATCATGGCGTCGGTTCCATATGCTAGTCGAAAAGGTGTTTCTTTGGTTGAGCTTTGTGGAGTGCATCTATAGGCCCACAAAATTTCGTGTAGGTGATCAGGCCATTGCCCCTTAGCATGTCCGAGGCATCTTTTTAATTCTCTCAAAATGACTTTGTTGGCCGTTTCTGCCTGGCCGTTGGATTGGGGGTGCTCTACAGATGTCACTTGGTGTTTAATCTGAAGTCCTTCGAGGAATTCATTGAAGCGGCGATCTATGAACTGTAAGCCGTTGTCCGTGATGAGGGCAAAAGGTACACCAAACCGAGTAATGACGTTCTTCCAAAAGAACTTTTGGACATTGTTGGCTGAAATAGTGGCAACTGCTTCCGCCTCGATCCACTTGGTAAAATGGTCGACTACCACTATGAGGAACTTGACTTGTCCCTTTGCTGGTGGGAATGGTCCCCGGATATCCATGCCCCATACCGAGAAGGGCCAGGCGGTCGTGATGAAGTGTAAGTCTTCAGCTGGTAAGTTTTTTAACGGGCCGTGTTGCTGACACGGCTTGCATTATTGGGTGAATTTTATGCAATCACTTGTGATGGTAGGCCAGTAGTAGCCGGCTCAGATGACCTTAACAGCTAAGGTTCGTCCTCTCGAGTGTGTTCTGCATATACCTTCGTGGATTTCCCGGAGGACATAGTGTGCTTGTTCAGGTGTGAGGCATTTCAATAAGGGCGACGACATGCCTCGCTTATACAATTCTCCTGCAACCAACGTGTACTGGGCGACGACGACCCTTAGTTTCTTTGCTTCGAGAGAATTACTGGGTAATTCTCTGGTTGATAGATAACGTGTTATGCCGGTCATCCAATTGTCTTCTTCTTGCTGAACGTGCAAGCATTCGGTTTCCCTAACACTTGGCGCTTGCAATTCTTGTTGCATGATGCTTCGTAAGTGGCTTCTCTTCTTACTGCTTGCCAACTTAGCCAATTGGTCAGCCCTCATATTGAGTTCCCGGGGGGTGTACTCGACATGGATCTCTTGGAAGTTGTTTTTCAGCTTCTGGAAAGCGTGGAAGTACAAAAATAGCGTTGGCTCTTTGATTTGGAAAGTGTCGTTGACCTGGCCTGTTACCACTTGTGAGTCGCTCCAACATTTGATTCTGGTGACACTTAAGTCCTTTGCTAACCTTAAGCTTGCGAGAAGGGCCTCGTATTCGGCTTGGTTATTGGAGGCTTTGAAGCCGAACCATAGTGACAGTTCCACTAACACTTTGCCAGGACCTTCAAGTATGATGCCGACACCACTACCTTGTTGATTTGATGACCCGTCCATGTGAAGAGTCCAGACGTGTGGTTCGGAGAGTGCTTCCAGGGTGAATTCATTAATGAAGTCGGCCATGCTCTGTGCCTTGATGGGCCCTCTTGGTTCAAAACGAATGCCAAATTGTGACAGTTCTATAGACAAAGCGACCATCCGTCTGGCTAGTTCGGGCTTTCGCAACACCTTGACAATCGGGCTGTCCGTCCTGATAATGATTCGATGGCTTTGAAAGTAGTGACGAAGACGCTTGGCTGTGTGTACGAGGGCTAGGACTGTCTTCTCAAGATGTTGGTACCGAGTCTCGGCATCTTGCAGGACTCGGCTGATAAAGTAAACCGACATTTGTTTCGTTTGTTCCTGCACTAGAGTCGTGCTAATAGCTTTGTCTGATACAAAAATGTATATGATCATCTCTAAGTGAGGATTCAGTTTTGCAAGCAACGGCAGGGCTGTGAGCATTATTTTGAAGTTTTGAAATGAGGACTCGCATTCTTCAGTCCATTGGAACTTTCTGGCCTTTTTCAACAAGGACATTATGGGTCTCGACTTCTCGGCCATGCAAGGCAGAAAACGAGCCAATGAAGCTATGCGCCCGGCTAATCGTTGTACTTCCTTTACATTGCGTGGGCTTCTCATGTTGACGATGGCTTGGCACTTGTCGTGGTTAGCTTCTATGCCTCTTTGTGATAACATGAAGCCTAGGAACTTTCCGCCAGTGACTCCGAAGGTGCACTTTGCCGAATTTAGTCGCATGTGATGCCGCCTCACTTCATCAAATATTATTGCGAGATCCCTTCAGTGATCATCGGGGGATGCGGACTTGATCACCATATCGTCTATGTATACTTCCATGCAGGTCCCTATCTGCCGCCAAAAGATCTTGTCCATGAGTCGGTGGTAAGTTTCCCCCGCGTTTCTCAAGCCGAACGACATTACCTTGTAGCAAAAGTTGGCTGAATCCATGATGAATGCAGATTTCCCTTCGTCCAGGGGCTACATGGGTATTTGATTATACCCTGAGTAGGCATCTAGAAAGCTTAGCCTCGGATGGCCTGCGGCTCCATCAACCAATGTGTCAATGTGTGGAAGGGGATAGGCATCCTTCGGGCATGCCTTGTTGAGATCTGTGTAGTCAGTACACATCCGCCACTTGCCATTTGCCTTTTTGACCATCACTACATTGGCCAACCAGGTGGAGTACTTAACTTCTCTGATGAACCCTGCTTGTAGTAACTTGGTTGTTTCTTCTCTCACTGCTTGGGCCCTTTCTCCCCCCATTTTTCTCTTCTTCTGCGCGATGGGCTTGGCATCTCGGCAGACTGAGAGCCGGTGGCAGTGGAAGTTTGGGTCAATGCCCGACATGTCGGCTGCTGTCCAGGCGAACAGGTCTGAGTACTTCAGTAGGACTTGTTTAATGTCTTTTGCTTCGGTTTCTGTCAATTGGGAACTCAAATAAGTAACTTGTTCCTCCATTCTTCTGAGTTGGAACGGGATCGTTGTTTCTGTTGGTTCGACCCTATGTTCATCTTCCATCCTGGGGTCAAGTTTAAGGTCTTCAATCGACTTATGTTGGCCGACATCACCGATGACATTGACGTCTCGGCTTGGCTTCGGAGTTGGTTGTACCTTTAGGCTGGCGAGGTAACATTCGCGGGCCGTCTTTTGATCCGCATGCAGAGTAATGATCGTTCCTTCCTCCGAGGGGAACTTCATAGCCAAGTGGGGAGTGGAAACAATGGCGCGAAGCTTGTTCAGGGATGGTCGGCCCAACATGATGTTCTATGAGGTGTTAGCATGCACCACAACGTACCGTACCTTAATCCTTCGTCTATGCTGGTCTTCGCCGAAGTAAGTGTATAGGTTGATCGTCCCCCGAGTGTCCACTCGTTCCTCGGAGAACCTGACCAAAGGCTCATCATAAGGTATCAACTCTTGTTCAGGGATGCCGAGCTGCTCGAATGTCTTCTAGTACAAGATATCCGCCGAGCTTCCTTGATCGACAAGTGTCTTCTTCACGACACAGTTGTTGATCTCCACACTGATGACCATAGGATCATCTTGCATCGGGTCTACTCTTTTAAAGTCTCGATCGGTAAATGTGACAGGGGGCATATGGATCGAAGCTTCCCGGCCTACGACGTTTACCGACTTGATTGCCCTCAAGTGTCTCTTTCGGGCCGAGGACGTGCTTCCTCCTCCTGCAAATCCTCCCGCAATCGTGTTTATTACCCTCCTGGTTTGATTTCGATCCCGCTGCTGATCGTTTCTTTCCGGGGTCTTGCTTCGTTCTCGGGACCTACGCCTTGGGGGTACCCTTTCACGGTTCCCTCTTCCGGACTCTCTCCTATCTTGGTAGTTATCATACCTCTTCCTGCTCGAGGGTTGGGTGAAGTTTTGAAGATGTCCGGACTTAACGAGGTCCTCAATGCGATCTCGGAGGGCGGTGCATTCCTCCGTGGTGTGTCCCCGGTTTCTGTGAAACTGGCACGTCTTGGTCTTATCCGCATGGGGCAGAGTCATGGCGCGGCGGGGTACGGTGAGAACTTCAGTGGCCAAAGCCTGCTCCAACACCTTGGTCCTGCTGGTGTTGAGTGGCGTATACTGTGCATATTTGGGTCCCCTATTGTTCCTCTCTCGATCGGATGTATCTCGAGGGCGAGGCCTTGGAGGGTGCTCTTTTTCAGCTTCTTTCTTTCCAAGGAAGAGGTCGGATCGGTTCTGATTTCTGAACTCGGCCAATTCTTCCATCTGCATGTACTTTGTGGCTCTTTGCCTTAGATCGTCCAAGTCTCGGGGTGGCTTCTTACATAGGCTGTTTACAAAAGGACCTAGCCTCAATGTCGTGGTGAGGTGGTGCATTGCCACCGCAGGATCTAGATCTCGGATGGACAAGGTCATTTTCCCGAATCGCTCCATGAAGGTTCTCAGAGGTTCTTTCTTTTCTTGGCGAATGTTAACCAGAGCTATAGACATGAGCTATGGGGTTGGCTCGTAGCGAATTGTATTACGAAACGAGAAAATAAGTTTGTGAAGGAATCTACCGATCCCGAGGGAAGTCTTATGAACCAGTTTAGCGCCGGTCCCTTTAGTGATGTAGGGAATACCTTACACATGACGGCATCCTCCTCGGTGTATAGACTGACTTGCGTGACGAAAGCATCGAGGTGTTCTTCCGGATCGGCAGTTCCATCATATCTCTCCCAGGCCAGGTTCTTCCAGCTGTCCGGTAGACGAGCTCCGGCGATGACCGGGGTAAATGGTGTTCTCCCCTGTCATCGTTGCTGATCGAGAGTTGCGGTCATCGCTCCTCCCAGTGGCTTAGGAGCTCTCATTTCTTTGTACCATCCCGACAATTCCCCATGATCTCGGGTCGATTGGGTGTTGGGGGTATCATGAGACGGATGCCAAGACCGGTTGTCGCTTCTAAGCTCCGTGTTTTCTTTTCTTAGGACCGACAGCTCATGGGCGTCCTTTTCTCTAAGCTTCTTCAGTTCCATCATTTCGGCCTTCAATTGCTCGATGGCCATGATGGGTCAGGGGGTTGCTATCGGGCTATGTAAGACTCTTCCATTCCTTCCTCGTTCTGATTCGTTTACTGTGGTGGTTCCCGGGGCATCCCAAGATGTACTGTTACGTTTTCTTGCTGTCTCCTAGTTGCTACCATCCTGCTTCAGGGTCGAGAACCGCTTTCGGTTTCGGCCCCACGATGGGCGCCAAAATGTTCCTGTATAGAAACACTCCTCCTGATGCTGCTCCTTAGTGATCTTCTGAGTCTTTCGTGCTGACCGAATACTGTCTCCAAAGGGGGTGTGGAGGGTACCTGCAAAGGCACTCCAACGATCAAGTAAGTGTTCGGTACAGAGCAATAATGCCTTTATATGGAATAATACGTACCTCTTTATGTCCCATCACCTGTATATTTATAGTGACGTATTTGGGCCTGGTGGGCCTTCTGTATGGGGAAATGGGTAATACCTTGGTTAACCTTAATCTCTCTTAATTAAATGGGATAATTCATGCGTAATGGATGTCTTAACCTGCCATGCGTTCCCTGGCTTGTCCTTCTTTTGGGTACTCGGCCAAGCTTGAGGCCGAAAGGGGTATTCGGTCGGGCTTGAGGCCGAAGGGGTATTCGGCCAAGCCTGGGGCCGAAAAGGTATTCGGCCAAGCTTGAGGCCGAAAGGGGTATTCGACCAAGCTTAAAGTGGGGGCCTTGAATGTCTTCGACCAAGCTTGAGGCCAGAAAGGTACTCGTCCAGGCTTGGGGCCGGAGGGGTATTCAGCCTAGCTTGTGGCCGAAGGGGTATTCGGCCTATCTCGGGGCCGAAGAGGTATTCGGCCTATCTCGGGGCCGAAGAGGTACTCGGCCAAGCTCTATGCTGATGGGTATCCTGAGTGTTCCCCCTAGATGCTTCTTTTGTCCTGTTGAGGTTTTTCCTCCTTCGTAGAAGGAGTATTCGGTTATTCCTAAGGTCGAGAATGTCTTCGGCCAAGTTCAAGGCCGAAGGGGTATCGTGTGGAAACTGTCATCCGTTTCGGTGCCTCTCTCGGCCTAATTTCTGACCGAGGGGGTGTTCACTGGTACAATAATAATTTTAGCGACCAAATTAAAATTGGTTGCTAAATATAAATTACCAGAAGGTGTAGTGAAATCTGGCTGGAACCTGTCAATTAGGCCCTAAATTTCAGGGGTATATATTTCTGATCGAAGGCAACCTTCCTAATTCCCTTGACTAATCTCTGCAAGAGAATCACAGGATTGAATTTGTTCCTCTGAAAAGCTGATTTCCTGTTCATTGGAACTTTAGAGAGTAAGATTTTAAGCACAAGATTCTGGAATGTATTTTTTTTTCTTCGTATTTGCTTTGATTCAAACATCAAAAACAAGATTGCTTAAGGCACATGAAGTTTAATGGAAAATAATCATTCTACTACAATAGATTTAGGTAAAGGTAAACAAATTTCTGATGTTTCCGTTCATGCCTTCCAACCATTGAATATAGCAACTACATTTTTCTGATCAAGATTATTCAGTGTAGCATCAAAATCATAGTTAGGATTGGAGATTTTACCATTTCCACCTTTTCCATCCTGCTTTGATCAAATGGAGAGTTAACTTCAACTTTTATTCATACAAATCAGCATGTAATATAAGCCAAAAGAAATAGTCACCTACTCAGTATGTTTATAATGCTTTAGGATGTTTACACTACATATGGGTGTTGAATATTGTCTCATTATGAGCTTTGAGTTTTGACATAATTTGGTTTTGCTTGCCTAGCACTACATATGGGTGTTGAATATTGAGTAAATTCTGTAAGCTTGTATGCATTATATTTTGTTTTAATGCTGACTTTTCTTTCAAATGTTTTATCCGGCTAAATATTTTATCGTTTTATGTTTCAAATGTCTTTTCTTTCTTTTTATCTAATTGATCTTGAAAGGTCTACCCATTTAAAATGTTTGATCCAGCCAAAAAATTTTATATTGTTAGTGTTCTGTTTGGTGGTTCAATGGTTCTGATTTTGAAATGATACATTATGCATTCTTCAGGTTCACATATCTTTTCCATTTTCTTTTATTCGTATATTGATTTAATGAACTTTTCTATGGATTTATTAGGTATAAAACTGAAAATGGTCAGAAGCTTGAGCCCGTAGAAGAAGTCACTATTGAGGTAATATTTCCACTTGTCATTCATAGTATGCTTTTCCAAGAGTTTGAACTTCTAACATAATAATGGATCTATTCCAGGTAAATGATGAGCACATTGGCTTGGTAATGGAGGCCTTGTCTCACAGACGAGCTGAGGTTACTGACATGGGTCCTGTCTCAGGAATTGTTGGTAGAACTAGACTGACTTTGACTTGTCCATCAAGGTGAAACTTAGTTATCTTTCTCTCCCTATTGAATTTATCTCTTTGATTTGTTTTCCCATTTTCTCCTAGCACTTGATTGGTACTAATTTTGATATTAGATTATCATAAGTAATATATATATGTGTGTATATATATATATAAATATATATATATATATATATATATATATATATATATATAATGGAAATTCTATAGATGCATGGTTTTGAAGAAATCACATTCTTAGGTTTTTTGTTTCTTAATCTTATTATCCTTTGCCCTTTTTGGAGGGTGATGATAGGTCTAGCATGCTTATTCTTTGGTAACTAACTGATTTTATAGTAGTATAATATTTATTAGGCATGTTTACGGTTCCTTTTTCTTTCTGGTTCTATTAAATGCTTAAGGATGTCAAAAACATTTAATATTGTATTTTCAAATTTTATGTTCATGATACTGTGACCATATTTCCTGCTTCTTTTAATATAATATAATTATTATTATTGGTAATATAATTATTAAACATATTATTATATTTTTATAACAGTTCAAATATACCGAAATGAGAGGGATCCAAAAATAGTATAAGTATGAGATTGTATATTTGAGGATGACTTAAATGAATTAAGTTTTAATACCTGTAGTTACAATATTCATATGTCTTTCTGTAGCTTATCTCATCAGAACTCCACAGTTAAGTGTGTTTGACTTGGAGTAATATAGGGATGGGTGACCTTTTGGAAAGTTTCCCAAAAATTGTGTAATTAAGGACTAAACATGCTAAAAAGTGAAGTATTGTGAAATAGAATCTTCGAGAGGCTAAATATGAGTATTTCGTAGCGACCGAATTTGCAACGTTTATAAAATTAATAAAATAAAAATAAATCTTTAGCGACCGATTTATTCGGTCACTAATTTGGTCCCCATACATATCAACAACCAAAATCATTGCAATCATTTTGCGACAGAAAATTTTTTGGTCGCTATATAACTTTGCGACTAGGGTTTTTGCAACTACTTAAATTCGGTCGCTAAGGCAAATAGCGACTGATTTTAGTAATTTAGCGACCGATTTTGGTGGTCGCTAAATGCAATTTTTTTGTAGTATAAGATCGGTTATAAATCAACCGATCTTAAAAGTTAACTTTTAAAATCAATTGTTTAACCGATTTTAAAAGTTTAACTTTCAAAATCGACTCTTTTAAAATCAGTTACGAAACCGATTTTAAAAGTTAAAAATAACCGATTTTAAAAGCCTTTTTTCCACTAGTAAATATCACTAATTGAGGAAAAGTTCTCACCAATGACAACGTAAGTGTCAAATTCAACATATGTTGGGGTTAAATTCATTAATATATGTCACTTATTATGATGTGTATTACTAATTTCTTCACCAAACTTAGGATAAAAGTACCAACAAACATGGTAATTTATATGAAGTGTGTTTAAAAAGTCAAATTTGTTTATACAAAAAATAATCGGTTAAAGATGTAACTATAATTTGATTCAAAAAGTGCTTTCTCTCTCCTTTTTTTTTGTTATATATATATCACTAATCACAATTGTTTGTAAGAAGATATTGAAATATAATTCAAGCGAGGAGAATACACTTTAAAAAGTTAAAGTATATTCAAAATTCTTTATTTGAAAATTTATAATTAGAAATTTAGTCTTATAATTTATTATATATGTACACATATTTTCATTACTAGAATTTTTTTTATTACATGCGACTTTTCAAAATTTGCAAGAAACCACGTTTCCTGCAAATTTTTCTGCGAAATTTTATCTACATGTAATACCTTCGTGGATAATATATTTTTGCAAATTTTAAAATTCGCAGGAAATTTTCCTGCGGAATTTCTTGCGAAAAAAATTTGCAGGAAAGTTTCCTGCAAAAGAAATTTCGCAGGAAAATTCGCAAGAAAGTTTCCTGCGAATTTTTTTGCAAGAAACTTTGCAGGAATATTTTTACGAAAAAAAATTAAAGAAATTACTATAAATTCTATCAAAAATTTTTTAACTTTCAAATGCTCACAATGAATTCATCCGAAACATTTGTTTCCATGTCTCCAACATGTGATACATAATCTTTTAAATTCTAAGATTGTAGAT